ACGTTGTCGCCAGGTGGGACACTGCGTATAAGAACTGTCTCAGCATTGTTTTATCAGACGGTTCGCTTCTTCTGCAAGACAGTAACACTTATACGAGGGACCAGTGATACCGCTTGAGATTGAAGAAAAATATCTCAAATACCAACATGTGTTGATGAGCACTCGAGAAGAGGAGGTACTGCGCGAATTGTGCACCATGATGGACTTTACCCTGTGACATTCAGTCTAACCTTGAAGCCGACGTTAGACTTCTTCTGTCGACTGACAGTTTACTAACGGTTACCTTCGTGTTGTTTGGAACTGTAATGAAAATGACTTCTTTTTCGTCGGGTATTCTGATGTGTGCAGATTCTGCATAAGTGAAGAAAGTACGGAATTATCTGTAAATTGCCATTCCAACGACTCGTCCGTGAGATCGCTCAGGATTTCAAGACTGACCTCCACTTCTAAAGTTCTGCTGTAATGGCTCTTCAAGAAGATAGCGAGGCGTTACCTTGTACGTCTTTTCGAAGATACGAACTTGTGCGCTATTCAGGCTAAAGCGAGTCACTATCATGCCGAAAGATATCCAAGTAGCACGTTGTATCTGTGGCGAGCGAGCTTAGGCGCAACAAATTTATAAAATAAACAATCTAAAAACACGAAGGTGGTCACATCATTATCTTCTATTTTTTATTGTAAAAGTGTTCAAAGGAGATGGATTTTTATTTGTACTTGGTTACTTAACCCTTTAGGGGCCTGTGTACATAATTATGGAAAAAAAAAAAAAAAAAAAAAAACGAAAGCAAATAAAACGAAAAAACCGAAACAACCCCAAAAACTAAAAAAAAAACTAAAGGACTCATCAGGGACGTCTTTTAAGACTATTTTATAAATTACAACATTTTGGTCCAATGGGATCGATGTGTGGCCCTTAAAGGGTTAATTACAGCAGTTTCAAACATTTGTATTGACAATTACAGTACAATTAGAGTACAATTAAACGTGTTAAAAAAACTCTGAGTTCCGAAACATATAGATGCCAGGTATTATTTTATACGCGAAAAATATGCAAACGAAGACATAGATATAAGATATGTTCTAAGCGAAGACCAACTAACCGATATTTTTAGAAAAATCTTTTTTTTTTTATTAAGGCTCTTGGTCCCTAAGCCGAGAACTTTGCGTTGACGGATGGCGACGTACCGTTGCGGTAGAAATAAGAACTCTCTCCAATGGAGAATTATATTCTTTGTGACATGTTGACAATCTATTTTGTCCTGCATGGTATTTCGTTATTATTCGCTCTGTACTTGTGCTGTAATATTTATATTCGTGAAACTCGTAAAATTGACCGAGGAGTAAGATTTGCAAGGAATACATATGCGGAGGAACATTTTTCACTCTTTTCGATAGTTGTCAAATGGTTTGTTTTCTCGTATGTTTAGGCTTTGTTTTATGGTTGTTTGTTTATTGTCGAGGGAAAAGAATAGTCCCAGGTCAATTTTAGAAGTGTTCTGAAATGATCTACAGTGATTTTTTATTGAAATGTCTTTTTATTTGAGAATGCCACGTAGGACAAAATAGGGTAATTTCTCGCTTCGATAGCAAGAAATTCAATATGACCGCGGTGACTACCCAGGAGCCTTAAAGGATAGATTTGTCACATTGTGCAGTAAAATTGGTATTACAGAAGCACTTAAATAGTGCAGATGTTAGAAATGAAGTTCAAGTATTCGTACGCTTCTGTTTGGTGTATGCCAAGAGAGTAGAAAGTGATGTTATCTGTACAACCTTTCTCTGTTTCTTTTATTGTTAGTTTTAGGTCCGTTTTCATTTTTCTTTTTATTATGTATTTCTGTGGATAATTTAAATAACTGTTTCAAATTAATATGGCAACACAATATACAATTTTATTACACAGAATAAAGATACAATTTACATACCATGCGCGTGGCCATGCAAGCACCATATAAAAGCCATCAGGCTTAAGTGTCTGGAAACAGATGTGCAATGGCGGAAATAGCAAAAGAAAGAACGGAATTATGCTTATTGCGTTCACTTGTTAATAGCGCATCCTAAAGTCTAAGTCTAAAGTAGATAGATAAAATATCGCAATTATTCGCCATTTTGGCTCTACAACTATGCGACCACACAAAGAAACGCGTACATACATATAATGTTTCACACATAGAATCAGGTTAGGAAAATTGCACTTAATGTGTAGCTATGTTACATTATGCAATAAGATAAGTCTACATTATGTTCATTTTTCGACGCCATTTGACTCTAAATGTTAAAGCATTGAGTCTCATGAATTGCGATTACAGACATCTATATATTATATACTAGACTGCTAATTTCCACAAAATCACTTCCACGTGGATCTGAAAAGTATGTACATAACTCATGCGTTATGTAAAAGATACGAATGTTACTTAATTGGTTGAATTTCAAGCAATATGTGTTACATATCTACTATTTCCCCTTTTATTTACGCCACGGATGCGCAGATGCTTACTTGTCATATATATGTGATACATATTTTTTGGAATCCATTTTTTTGATACGGTATAAAGGAGTAGCAATTTAGTATACACACATACGTGACGCATACATACATGAATCTAATGGATAGAACAGAGGAGGTATTTTTCGGACTTGCTTCACTAGTCAGGTATGGAACCATAGATCTTATAGATATGCAGGTTAATTGTTACAAAAATATAATTACCGTAATCAGCTGATTCACGTAGAATTTCCCTATCTGCTTTCGTGTTTGCTCAGTTATATATATTTTTTGTTTTTCATATGTTTTTATCGCGGTCTCTTGCGTTTTTTCCCAATTACTTAAATGTTCAAAAATTGGGCCTGCGATATTTAGTGAGCAAAAGCATGTAGCGAAATTTAAGGCAATATTGACCATGGACTGGCATACATAGCACATCTTGTCACGTACTTCTCTCTCTAAAGTGTCCGGAAGCACCGAAAGAGGAAAAGAGAGAGAAATATACTTCTCTTTCCAAAGTGTCTGGAAGTATGGAAAGAAAAAAAGAGAAGATGGTTCTTTCTCTAACTTCCTCCGTACGTTATAATAAACTGTAGGCAGTTGCCAGTCCATATCTATAAGGTCCGTGTATTGGACGAATCGTTGTCCATGGATGTAGAATATAGATGTCTGTGATTGCAGTACTTTGTCTATCCAGTTACTTTAGCGCGTCTTATCCTAGAGCATCTAATCCAGTAGAGCGCGCGTAAAATGAACACACATCTACCTCTTCTTAAGAAAAAAGTTATTTCGCTGCATACATTGATAAGTAATTAGGTCGTTTTATAACGACCTGACTACTTATTAATGAACGCTCTAAAATGTTCGTACTCCAACAGAGCGTCGTGGTGTATTTTGCGCTTGATCAAAAAGATGATTAGGTTCTGTCTGTAGAGAAACGCGGATATTAATATGTGTTTTGTTTTGAAATTGTTCGGCATGTCTCTTGAGAAACATCGTCTTGTTCATTCCGTTCATGCGATTTAAAACTCAAAGACTACAGGAGTGTTTACTTTCTATGGAACGCATTTGATTTACACGTTTTATCCAGGAACAGTCATCATCGAACGACATCTTATAATGCAACTTTCTCAATCGATCTGTAATTCTATCGAATTTCCATTTTTCATCTTTTGAATAATTTTTACACGCTATTCTCTCCCCGCACGAGAAATTTATATTTAATGTGTTCGTATTACTAAGAGTTTGGATTTTTTCTGCTAGTTTTTGTCGGAACACAAAGGGAATTAACTTAGTCAGAAGTTATTAAATTTAACATTTTTCGTTGTTCGAAAGCGAGAAAAATGTAGTCAATCAACCGAAAGCTTTTAACAGTCTTATTTTATTTAGTAGGTAACATTACATCTAATCTAGTGCATAGTTTTCTGTTGAGAATATTTCCGCAGGAGACATGTTATTGCATATAGCATTGTTCTATACTGTAATAATAATTTATTTAATGCTAAAATTTTTTAAGACTCTTGATAATAAAAAATTAATATAGTGATTTGGCTATGAGAGTGACAACGCGGTTCTTGGTGCGTAATTTATAAGAACTATTTATTTTTAAATTACAATGATTTCCGTACGTTATTTAATGCTAAATCGACATTTAAAGAATCACAGTTTATACGACGTAAAACGTGTTTGTATAATTTGGAAATGTACGGCTGTGAGACTTCCGCCAAGATTGCGGGGAAAGTCACCCTATCGCCGAAAGCATACCTCTTTATTTTGTATGACGTCTTCCAGTACTTTACAATAATTTTTCTTCTCCTCCACTTCTTTCCTCTGACAATCGATCAACGTCTGCATGGCGTCGTAGTCATTAAACGATACGTAGACGCCGTTCCTCTCACGCGTTGCCACCAGATCTTTCTTGAGCCTCTCGATCTCCTTGGTGTATTCCTTCAGCAGCGCTCGCTTGCAGATCTGATTGATCTCAGGACGATTGGTGATGTTCTTCGCCCGGTAGGCGTAATCCAACGTCGACAGCGTCTCCTCGAGATTACCGCTCGCGGACGAAACGGTCGCGATTATCGACGTTTTCGTTCGGCTACCTAATGACTCCTGCAGCAGCCTGGTGAGCTTCGACTCGCGGTACAGCACGTGGGGTGCCTTCTCTACGAGGGCGGTTATCACCCTGCCCAAGGTCAGCAGGGACTGATTGATCCTCTTGGCCTCCCGCGCCCTTTTCTCGACCGCCCCGGACCTGCCGATGTGCTCGCTGCCGGCCAGGTCCACCAGGTTCAATTTTGCCGTCTTCAGCAGCGCCTCGCCGCCGCTGGTGTTCTCCTTCGTGTGTATTGTGATCGAGAACACCGTGTGCGAACGGCTCGAGTTTGAGTTGAGCATCGTCGCCGCGGTCTGTCGTCTCTCCGAGCCCTTCTCGAGAATTCTGAAGATCTCGGCCTTGCCCCTGACAGTCACCTCCTCCAGGCCGTGGATAATGACCGAGCCTTTCTTCGTCACGTTCTCGTACAGCTTTATCTTAGGCGGCGTGTCGTTTCCGTCCATCAGGAGGTCAATCAGCTCCTCGTTGTATATCTCCAGGAAGTTTATTATATACTTTATGTTTACCATTTACTCGTAGGAATAATAATATTAT